TTTTTTATTATATGTTATACATATAATAGCACAGAAGAAATTGAACTGTGTATGAAGCTTTCTGAGACAATGAAATTTTTAAACAGCAGTGATATGTATCAGTCAAGATATTATTTGATCGTCCTGCTTGTTTGCAGTTCAAACTAAAAGAAATGCAACTTGCTTTTAATTTTCTCTCTTTATATACAGGGAAAGCCACTCATAGAGTCAGAAAACAGTCAATTAAGAGGTCTCAAGATGAGAATCATCATCACCCTGTTTTTAAGAGAAGTTGTCTTCACACTTTTAGATCTTTTAGTGACATTAAATTGGATTCATAATTACAATAATGGAAGTACTCATTTTGTAATATTTTTAGGATTTTGTTTAATTGTAATTTTTGTAAGCTGGTTCTGTGCCTTAAAATCAAGGTCATTTTAGTATTTGAAATTGCATATCCACAGGCAGAGTAGGTATTTCAGATGTAAGGTGACTGACATGGTGCAGTGGAGACGTGGTGGACAATGTGTATTTTGAGTAGGATTTTTAAAGACATCTGTAACAGCTGTCTGAAACGAAATGATTCCTCTTCTTGTGCCCAGTATAATCTGCAGTGGTTCTGTATTACTCAGAATTTCTTAGAAGAATTCATCTAGCAAATTACTTTCCTGATGCAGCTGCAGTCTGGGTTGTGTGGATAACTGGCATTTTGTTTTGTTTGCAAAACCAGTTCATTTAAGACAGTCCCTGAAATTTTACCAGAAAGCTGAATATCGGGTGGAGAACACATAATATTCAACAATACAAATTCAACAAGTAAATATTCTGTGTGATTAGCTGATCTCTTTAAATCAAAGTTCGATATCCTCTGGTGCCATGAGTGGAAAGTAAGAGCCCATAACTATAGTGGATAGGGTGCTGTGTATACCCTGAACCTTGGTTCAAATTCACTTCTTGTTTTATTGCTCTTGTTAGTGTCTGATGAACAATAATGGTGATTGCTTTTGTTGTTTGTTATTATCAGACACAATTCTTTCTTATTGTTTTTAGTGTTTTTTTTTCACCCGCTTTGTCTTGAAAATAGCCTTTTACTTGGAAAAATTTAAATAGCTTTCCAAAACCAGCAGAAATATTCACAATTCACGTCTCTTATACAAACTTGATCTGGAAAAGAGAAATTTCAAGAGAATTTAACTTGATTTTAGTCACAAGGTCAGTAAGTTTTACCAGATAATGTGCTACTGGTGACTATGGTGCTCACCAGAAAGTTTTCTCTGAGAACAAAGAGCAAAGTTTTACCTGAACACCTTCTGCCCATTTCATTGCCAGTTCTGCCTTATGGTTTATTAAGGTTATGCTGTAAGGAACAACATATTTCAGTCTTTTCTGGATTCAGAATTCCTTTCTTCATTCAGTTCTTGCCTTTGCCAAAAATCACTGTGCAGCCATTGAATATGGCTATGAGTTAATTGAATATAAACTATAAATTCTCACTTTTTAAGGCATGGTGAGTAATCCTAACTTATTTCCTACTTTGTCTGGCATGTTTTTTAGTCACACACAATTTAGTACATTTGCAATTCATCTTGTTTTGCTGAAAACATCCCAATTTCTAAATGTTTTGTCTAAAACATTTCAGGACACTGGAAACCTTTCTTCAGTTTTTAGCAGTGAAACTGAGGTCTGTCTTTGGCATGGGTTTCAGGAGTAGCCTCTCCTTCTGAGCAGAAAACTACTTCTCTGTCCCTGCTTTTATCAAAACCCAGGTGATGTAATTTTTCATTGTAAAGCTCTGTAGTACCAGATTATCACAGATTTTTTTTGCCTAATCTTATTTTCCAGATGAGATTAGAAACTGAGGGTGGTATGAGGAGGACTGATTTTTTGTTGTTGTTGAGAAAGAATTTTCTATCAAATTATTTCAATTATGTTGTGCAGCTTTTTTGTTGTTTTTATTGATGATCTGTCAATAAAATGCCGAAGAAATTGCATTTATCAAAATTTTTCTTTCCTGCAGTTCTTTCAAAACTCACTTTGCATTAAGGGATTTTTAAATAAAAAGTTCAAAGTAAAATGACTTTGTGCATCCTGATGCATGACTTATCACAAAATGTGGATTACATTGATATTCATATCAGTATCCTCATACAGTACAGGAGGAAACTGTCTAGGGAGAGCTGGCTAGGAAACACACGCTGCTATTCTTGGAACTAACACATGACAATGTAATATAGTGGAATAAAAAGTTATCATACATATTTATAATATTTAAAAAATTATCAGCAATCTCTAACTAGTTCTGATTGAAACATTTAGTCTTCCAGATCTACTCATGTTGTAATGAAATGCTTTGACACTTGATTTCTGCACTACAGTCTGTAAAGTAATGTGGAAATACTAATGCAAGCTTAATTTCCAGAATCAGTCTAATTGTGGCAACAGAGCTCTTCAGTGCAGGCTGCTTCTCCACTCAAAAAGTTTTTATTTCAACATGAACTGAAGTTGTGAACTACTATGACAGGACTGCCTGTAGACTATGTGAAATTTCAGTCATAAATTTTCTAAAACAATAGCAACATTCTATTTTCATTCTAGAAATATGATGATTTTGCATTACGGGGCTCCCAGAAAATTTAAGAGGGGGAAGAAGTTTCTCAGTAGTCCTATCTCTTCGCTAGACTGTGCAGTTCTGTTCACGCTATACAGTGTCACTGAAAAGCTCCACTGTCTTCATTTGGTGATACTTGCTGAGCTGACCAAGAGGTTACATGTCAAATTTCATGTGTAGGATTAACAGAGGACAGCTATCCATCATGTACATGTGGTGTGGTTTTATATGCTGCTGCCACTAAGCTTGTTCAGCAGTTTCCAAAGGTAACTGGAGACAGATTTCATTTCCCATGCAAGGTTAGAAAAAGAAGCTCCTTAAGCTGCAGCAGGGAAATTAAAGCTTACTTGCAAAAATCCCTGTTTCATGGGAAAAAAAAAAAAATATTAAGAATTTAACATAATTAAACTCTCTGAAGAGAAGCTTGGCATAAATATCTACGTAAATATCTAGACTGAAGGCATAGATACAATGCGAAGAACCAACTCATCTTTGGAGCCAGTTGAAAATGGAATCTTTGGGAATGATTTGGCCCTAATACCAGCGCCAAAACCCTGATGTTTTTCATCTTTTTGTCAGCTGAAATGATGAAGGACAACTCTAAAAATGGTACTGATCCTGCTGTGTTGTAGAACATAAGACTCACCCTCAGGCTTAGAGCATTCTGCTCTTGAACACTTAAACCAAAAGGCTCTGGCTGTATAAGATAGTACATATAACATCTTATGCTTCTTGCATCAGAGTTCAGCTGCTTTATAGAAAATAGTGAAAACAAAAAATATAAAACACTTAAAGGTGACAGTCTATATGTTCCTGACAGTTTCACTGGTTCTAAGTGCAGTTGTTTCAGAAAGCATTTTTGGGGACTTGTGTGAGGAACCCTGAAATGAGTTATTCTACTTATATGGATTTGTTTTTCCTGGAGAAATCCTCAGATAAAATGAGAGAAAAAAATATGTGGTGAGGAAATGGACAATAGAAATTAATTTGAGACCTAGGTCAAGGTAGTTGACCCAGTGGAATAAAATAATTAAGCAGTAAGTAAAATGCTTAGGTCAGCTTTTCAGAGCTCATTACTTGGCTAAAGACACTTGAGTACTGTAAAAATTCCTCCCAGTTACCACTTGTCTGGTCTTTAGGCAAATAGTGAGTCAAGTCAGTGCTTTTTCCTTGCATCTTTCTAATAGAAATATCATGCAAGTCAGCACAAGTAAAGTGGAAAATAAGATGGGAGAAGTTTTAAATGAAATTTGTTCAGGATAAGTTGTGACCAAGAACAGTTCCTTATGAGCAATCCTAGAGTGACACATCCTATTCAAGACCTTATACAAGACAAAGCTTTAGTGATAGTTTTGTTTTAAGGTGGATAATGAGAAGCATCAATTTATTGTTTCATGCATAATTTCAGAAGTACATGCTTGCTATAACTGTATTTAGTAAATAGTTCAATAGCACTGTCTGGTTATATGTGATCCATTTTGAAAAGCAGTGAGATAACAAACTACCTTTTGTTACCCATAATATACTTCTGTTGTAAAAAAAAAACCTCACTGTATCTGCTCAGCAGTGTTCAATCAGCCTTACACCTTAGCATCCATAACACTCAAACTCATCCTTAATAAAGAAATTGTTCCCCACTGAATTTGCTGTCTGAACTAATACCGGAGTATACTTTTATCACACTTTAAAGGTACATGCATAATAGAATGATCTGTTTTTAATTAATCCCTCTGACATTTTTGGTATCATAATTAATATTTTAAAAACCTGCAGAGGCCTTCAATACTGCCTAAAATAGCAAACATTGTCTTAATCAATAAAGAAAAGCATAAAAATGCTCTCAAAAGAGCTTCTATGACAACATAAAACAGTAATATTCACCTATAAATAAGCTGTGACTGCTTCCAGAAAGAAAATAACCTGTGTCAGCTGTAGATGGCTTTAGTTCCTTTTTTTTTTTTTTCTGGTTTCTGACTACCTATGGAACAGCTGAAATGCAGAGCGTTTTGGCATGATGGACATTTTTTACTACCTCTTTCAGCAGGTACAAAACATTACTGGATTGAATGTGCAAGTACAACATGTGGGGAGGAGAAATAACTGCAAACAGAAATGGAGCAACAGGCCTAGATTACAAGGCAGGGTTTGTGTTGCTGGTCAGTGACTGTAAAATAGAGCGAAATTGGCAAATGTTACAAAATTCCTTTATTTATTTATTTATTTATTTATTTATTTTTGATGCTTAGTCTCTTTTAGTGTGATTGGTAAATGATAGATGTCTAAGCACTGTTCATTCAGTAAGGTTCATAAGATCCAGATACACCAGACCTCCTTCTGAAGTCTTGGGCAAAGATTTATGGAGAAAACAGAAATGGCAAGAAAGTAGTTTTATAACACTTGGAATTTTTTTTTTCAGTACATTAATTTTGAAGCTGCTTTTTGAAAACAAAGTTTGACCTCAGAAAGGAGCCTTCACGGCTCATCATGAAGAGGATGAGAAAGCCAGCCAGAAGGATGACAGAGGGAAGGAACCACGGTAGGAGCTTTCTGGGTGCTTACTGCTCTGTGTGTCACGGTCTCTTTGAGCTTTGTTCAGCTGCTAGTTATTGCAAAATCGAGGAGATATTTCTACTCAGGTCCACTGCTCAGCTCAGCAAATAAAATAGTCATGGCTACTGAAGTTTCTCAATATCTTCTGTTAAAATGGAGGCTCTTAATGTTCTTATTGAATTAAGCTACTTTTCTGCTGCAGTAATAACCATTTCCATAGAAGAGCACCCAAGAAGTTTAAAGTGAACTTCCGTTTAATGATGGAGAATTCAGCATAGCTTTGCTGCATAACCTGAGTTTAATACAGTGTTTCTGCAGACTTTAACCTTTGCTGCAATGCTAGGTTTTTGCCAGGCAGGACTCTAAACTTCTTAGAAAGGCACAGACATAAATGAAGCATGGAAATATTGAAATGAGCCAGAGAAACAATTGTTAAGGGTTATTGGACAGGATGCTCAGCCAACTTAAGAAAGTTTTTCTGATCAGTATTTACCAATGTATTAGAAACTGCTTACATTACTTCTGTTAAACTGTGATTTGAAATTGCTAAATTGAGTGACATTTGACCTGAAACAGCTTTCAGTTGTGCTGACACAGGCCTTCATTTATTTAGCTGAATATGATTAATCTTGCAGGTGAGGCATTTTTGTGTCATTCAACCTGTTTTATGTTTTGTCTTATTTCACCTCTTATCTTGTAATTTGCTTTCTTTCATTCTTTTATTGGCTTATGATCCTTCTGTTTCCTACATGTCTAGTTTGTCCCCCCCGCCTGTATTTGTTATTCAACTAGCCAAACATAGCTGAAGAATTCAGGTTAATGGAATAGTAAAAATAATGTTCAGAAATAGTCTCTTCTTACAATTTGTTTTTTGGAACAGAGTGAGAAATCCCAACTAAATAGAAGCATTTCAAATACGCTACTGTTAGAGCTGTTTGCAAAAGATTACACCACATCTGTGCTTCCTGTTGCTTATAATAACATTGGTCTGATTTCTGCTTCCATGTTATATTTTTAACTGTGGGTTTGTTAAGAATGATTTTATCACTTTCTCCTTTCCTTTGGTATGGCTGCTGTCCAGATAATGCGCTCGACTTGCCATGTTACAACTCGGTTCATTTTCTACTTTTATTTCCAGTCTTTTCAGGTTAAATTGCTTTATTCAGTTGATTACTGTGTCATTAGATTTTATTAAATTCCTGGCTGCTCCCCACATACTCAACACTTCCCAGCTATTAAAGTAAAACCTCACTAGAACCCTTCCCTGATTATTATGAATATTAAGGTATGTTACTTATGTTTATAGCTATTATTTACCTGATTATTTTTAATCTATTAGTGTGCATTTCCAAGTAAATAAAGCTTATTTTAGGGATAAGATTTCAAAGAATTATTCAGGTTAGAATATTCTTTTCAATATATCCTAGGAAAAATATGTACAGTTACTGGGAACTGTTGGTGTAAGATTAGATCTGCCCAGGAGCATTTTAAACCGTATTTGTGCTACCTGAACTCTCAGTGATGTGAGGGAATTGCCCGGTATCTAACTTCTTGAAAAAGAGAATCATAACAGCACTTTCATGTTCTGCTAGGCAACAAAAAACATTCTGTTAGCTCTCCACCTTTATGCCTAATGCTTTAGGCCATACCTTCCTCCTTATCAGCTTTTCAAATCTTTAGAATAGTATCAAAGGGAGGGGGACACAATTGTTCCTGTTCTATCAAGTGCTTGAGTGGAATTTAGATTTACCTTCTTCATCTCCCCTTCCCCTGGTTCTCTCTGAAAAAGAAATTGTGTTGTTTAAAGTATTTGTTTTTAGAAAATTGAGTTGATGGTTCCATCATTTTATTGTTTCAGCTTCTCTGAATACTCCGAGAATATTATGGGAACAAAGCTAGATTTAACGGGTGTATAATTGTTTAAGCTGGTACTTTTTTAATTTCCTTGTCTTCAAGCAAGTACCTGCTACTTTCCCATTTTACTGTGATTAAAACATTTATTATTTTATTTTAAACACTAGTCTTGTAAATCATTTCTTTTAATACGCTAAACGTGTTCTCCAGCCTTGGCTGCTTGCATAAACTGGTGTTTAGCATTCTCTTGTTTTTATAATTTTTCTTAATTTCCTGTCTTCACTGTTTTGTTTATGATCCTTTGTAAAGGTATTATACCAAAACTTTTGATAATGAACATGTTAACAATATCAAATTATTAACTTCTTTATTATCAGAGATAATTTCCACATCTTTTTTTCCCTGACTTCTTTTGAATGTCATTTTACATCACTTAATCCTATTTCCCTGAAGTTTTCCATGCCTTCCTAATGTTGATATATTCCTGATATATTCTACTACTAAATATATTTTCTCATCTATAAAACCCTGACAATATTCAACTAAAACTTTCCTGATGAAAATTTAATCCCTCCTGAGCGATATGGTTCAGATATTTTTGACTCATCCAAAATTTATGCAGTATAATTCATACAACTGTATCTGCATCAATAAACATATAAACATATCAATAAACATTTTCTAAAAAAAATTAAAAGATTTTTAGTGATGTACATTATAGTGAGAAACAGCAGATGTACTTTCAAATTTAAAAGTTCGTTTATTTATAATTTTTATTATTAAAATTTTATTTATTATCATTAAAATTATTTTATTATTTAAAATTATCAAATTTAAAAGCTTCTTTCTTTTCTTTCATTTCAGTTTACAGATAAAACACCACCCAGTAAAACTGAAAAAAAAAAAAAAGCCTCCTCCCCCATTTTCTTTGTGTGGTTCTTGATGGCATCTCTGACATCATTATTATGTATGTTAATACCAAAATAGCTGATTTGTTTCATGTCTAAAAATACCACTTACATTATGCAGTACATATGTCAGACTATCACTCTGAAAGGAAATTTCTTGTTATGATGGTTGATGTTTTCATTCCTGATTTAATAAAGCTATCCAAAAGAGCACTTACTCTGCTCTTCTCTTACGGGAATAAGATTTGTCAGAAGATCTATGGCTGAACAATGTTTCATACTGAAATTGGTGGAAACAATCCCATTAATGTTAAGGGGTAAAACTGTTTCTCAGCTATCTTCAAAATAACACATTAACAAAAATGATTTTTTTTTTAGTTTGTTCTTTATTTCCCAGTCAGATTAATTCTGATCTTACAAAGAGGTTGTGCTGATCCCTCTGAGGCTTGTATTTCCCAAGAACACTTTTTACTGAAACAGCAAGGTCCCACTTCAGGCATGTCACTGTTTTATTGGGTTTAGCTCCAAGCTCTTTAGAGAAAAGAATTAGTTCAGCAGTGGATTTTAAACAACAAATATTGTGGCCTATTTTATACGATATATTGAGCAAGATTTGTATGATCATTCTTCTAGCTTTAAAGTCTTCAAACCTATACAGTGTATTTAATGCAAGTTGCAACTTAAACATTTTTTGATGTGTGCTATGTATAAAGTCACTAGACTGGCTTATTTGCTAATATTGTGGTACACAATAACAGTGAGCATAATAATGGTTCATTCACTGATATGTTTCATAGAAGCCAAAAGGTTGGGAAATGACCTCCAAGTTTATCTGATCCAACTGTCCCCTTATCACCAATATCACCCACTAAACCATATCCCTTTTGGAATGACCCAGGCTTCTCTGCTGTACAGTGGCAAAATGAAACTATTATCTGCCAGGTAGTACCAGGAGAAAATGATACCTCTCTGTTTGTGTTTGAACAGTATTTCAAGATAAGTTATGATGTAATGTATGTTTCTGTTTCATTAAAACACCTCAGCTATAAAAATATGTGAAATAACTAGTACAGTAATTTTTCAAGTGTTAAGGCTCATGATAGTCACATGGATCTGAACTTGTGTAGTAAACTTGTGAAGTATTTGGCATATGTAGGTAATTAAGGAGTGAACTAGTACAAAGGCCACAAAGAAAATAAGCAAAACTATTATGCACTATGAGTATGATCAGGCTTAGTGTTGCTAATATAACATAGAAAGCAATAAATGTTTTAGAAATCTTCTTTAATGCAAGATTAATTTCTGGCTGCCAAGTTTCAAGCATGTGATTTAAGTTCTGACTTTGCCTCATTTCCAGCTCTGTTGATTTCTGCCAACTACATTTAAGGTGTTGGTGTAATTTACACTGGTTGTGAAATATCAGAATTATACATTTTCTGCACCCAGTGTTACCAAAGAATGATCAATCATATAGCAAGCAGTTAGCACATTCTTAATATTTTCAATATAGATATTGTTCTAAGGTGACTTGAAAACTCTTTAACGTTGGTTCCAGCATTCTTTTAGCCAGAAAACAATGGCAACAATATGCTCACATTACTGCCTGGCTTTCTGGAATTCTGCTCAAACTAGTGGTTTAAAATTCCACATTTAAAGTTCCACTGAACTAAATGTGCAACAATTCAATTAAGTGGAATACGGATTTCTAATTACTATCTAATTAGAAATTGAATGCAATTTGGGAAAAGAGTGGCTTCCTCTTACTAATTACAAACTGTTTGCTGTTTCCAGTTAGCGTGGTGGTGGTTTGTGAACTCCATGCACAAGAAAGAAACGAAATGAAATTGTGCATAAAATGCATGTTTGTTTATGCTATGAATTATCTACTGTGATGCATGTTTTTGATCATGTAAGTGGTGGTCTTTTGTTGTTAAAAATACATGCATTTAAGACTTAATAGGAAAACACTCAGCTGTTAATGTGTAGTAAGTCAGTCACTTAAGTAAACTGGGCTATTCACCATTCATTTGATCATGGGAGTTTAACCCCAGTTTTTATTAAAGCAATGCAAATGCTGTTTGGATTTCAGCCTGCTGAATACCTCGTATCAATAAAGCAATCACAATAATATTTAGATCAACATAGGTTTTCTAACCTGAATGGGTGATAAAAATAAATATGTAAATCAAAATCAGCTGCAGAGAAAGTCTTATATAGATTATTT